GGTTCTCTCTTCTTTCTGACCTTTTAAACTGGGGTGACAACTCACTTGCCTTCTGAGAAAATGGGTCCTTACACTTGCTGCCATTCCTAGACACTTAGGATTATTTTAAAGTAAGCTAATGAAAAACTTAGAAGCAGTCAAGGTGTGGGGGTGGGGTTGGGGGATGGGTAATACTGGGATTTGAACACAGGGTTTCTCACTAGCTAGACTTGGGCCATGCTTTTAGCTCTGGCTTTTTTTTTCTCTCTCTCTTACTTAGATTTGAAGTAGGGCCTCATTTTTCCTTCGGCCAGCCTAGATTGAGATCCTTCTATATTTATGCTTCCCATGATACCTGAGATGACAGGTTTTTCTGTTGAGATGAAGTCTCATGAACTTTTTTGTCCAGGTTACCTGGAACCATGAGATCCTACTGATGTCAGCCTCTAATGACAGGTATGAGCTGGCACCCAGCTCAAGATTTTAGTAGAAAAGATGAAAATCAAGATGAGCCTGGTTGATGTCTGTAATCTTAGCACTCTGGAAACAGTCAGGAAGACTGGAATACAAGGCCAGTGTGGGCTATGTAGCAGGCTGTTTTTTTTTTTTTAATTGCTTTTATTTTTATTTATTTATTGCCAGTCCTGGGGCTTGAACTCAAGGCCTGGGCACTGTCCTTGAGCTTCTTTTGCTCAAGGCTAGCACTTTACCACTTGAGCCACAGCGCCACTTTTGGCTTTTTCCATTTATGTGGTGCTGAGGAATTGAACCCAGGCCTTCACTCATGCTAGGCAAACACTAAGTCACATTCCCCAGCAAGCAGATTGTTTTGGGTGGTGGTGTGTGTGCTTGTGTTTGTGTTTGTGTGTGTGTGTGTGTCTGTCTGTGTCTGTGTCTGTCGGTCATGGGGCTTGAACTGTGGGCTTGGACGCTGTCCCTGCCCTCCTCAGCTCAAGGTGAGCACTCTACTGCTTGAGCCACAGCACCACTTCTGGTTTTCTAGTGGTTTATTGGAGATAAGAGTCTCACGGACTTTCCTGCCTGGGCTGGCTTTGAACCATGATCCTCAGATCTCAGCCTCCTGAGGATTGTGGTTTGAAGCTTCCCCAGATAGGAAATTAACCACCAAAAAGCAGAAAGTAGAGCTGTGGGTCCAACAGTAGAGTGCTGTCTTGAGCACACAAGCTCAAGGACAGTGCCCAAGCCCTGAGTTCAAGTCCTGGGACTGGCACACACACAGAAAAAGTAAAAAATGTTTTGACTCTCACTGGCTTTAGAAGTAGATCTTAGAGGGGTTGGGAAGGTGGCTTAGTGGTAGAGCGCTCGCCTTGTATGCCTGAGGCCCTGGGTTCGATTCCTCAGTACCACATAAGCAAAAAGAAAAAAACCGGAAGTGGCGCTGTGGCTCAAGTGGTAGAGCGCTAGCCTTGAGCTGAAGAGCTGAGGGACAGCGCCCAGGCCCAGAGTTCATGTACCATGACTGGACCCCCCCCCCAAAAAAAAAAAAAGAAGTAGATCTTAGAAACACATATCAAATGGAAAGTCCTGAAGGATTTCAACTTCGTGACTAGGTAAAGTGAGTTGAGCCCATGGATTCCAAAGAATATGAGCTTGAAGGGATGCTTCTGGAATGTTCCTGTTGCTAGAGCTAATGAGCTGCTCCTGGTCCTTGTATAGACAGGCGTGGGTTTTTTTTTTGTTTTTTTTTAAATTAGTCATGGTGCTTGAACTTGGCCTGGGTGCTGTCCCTGAGCTCTTTGCTCAAGGCTAGCTCTCTACCACTTTGAGCCACAGTGCCACTTCTGGTTTTCTGGTGGATAATTGGAAATAAGAGTCTCACAGAAGCCGCCAGGCACCAGTGGCTCACAGCTGTAATCCTGGCTACTCAGGAGGCTGAGATCTGAGGATCAAGGTTCTAAGCCAGCCTGGGCAGGAAAGTCTGTGAGACTCTTATCTCCAATAAAACCACTAGAAAACTGGAAGTGGTGCTGTGGCTCAAGCGGTAGAGCGCTCACCTTGCGCTGAAGAGCGCAGGCACAGCACCCAAGCCAAGAGTTCAAGCCCCATGACTGACCCCCAAAAAAAGTCTCACGGGCTTTCCTGCCTGGCCTGGCTTTATACTATACTGAGATCCTCAGATCTCAGCCTCTTAAGTAGCTAGGATTACAGGCATGAGCCACCAGCACCCAGCTCACACAGGCTTTTTAAAACTTTAAACTCTCTGCAACTATACTATAGAAAACACTGGGAATTTCTGTTTTAGTGTGACTCGTGGAATGAATCTGAAGGCTCTGGAGTTCTTCATTCAGGTTTTCATGTGTCTCGAGAGAATGTCTACATTCTTGGGTAACCTTGACTTCTTGTCTATGTTTATCCAGAAAGACTAACTTAGTTATTCATAGACGCTGCTTACTGTCCTCTGATCTCTTACAGAGGTGGCCTCAGTAACATGCTGTTCCAGTGTTCCTTACCTGACACCATAGCCAGCGTGGGTGATGAACCCCGGACAGTGCTCCTTCGGCTGTATGGAGCCATCCTAAAGATGGTGAGCGCAGTGGCCGGTGGGGGTGGGGCAAGGAAGTTGCAAGTGTTGTACTACAGGCTTTCATGTGTTGTGCGGTTTGTTGTTCACTGGGTTAGTTCTTGTTTTTACTGAATACTTATTAGTAAACTACTTTTAATTTTCTCAGTTTCATATCTAGAGAAGTTACAATGTTTATTCAACTGTAATAATGTTTGATGATTCTTGGATTTTCAACACTGACCTTTTCAACTCAGGTTTAATTGTAGAAATCTAAAGTGGAAAAGATACTGTTTTATAGTATAATCAAAAAGATTTTGTTCCATAAATGTGTAATTATTTTTATCAAACAAAAATAAATAAGTAGAGAATAGTTTTAGTTAACCAAGTAAAACCTTCATACAACTGAACTTATTAACTATTTGTCTGAGATTTTCTTAAAACTTTGGATTTTTTTTAGATTAGAATTTTGTGTATGCTAGATTTATTACTTGTTTCTAAGTTTTTATATTAGAACTTTGTGTATGTTAGATTTATTACTTGTTTCTAAGTTTTTATATTATCTAGTCAAATTTAATTTTAAATTTAAGACACGGTATTCATTGAATTGTCTTATTCAGTGATAGGATATTCCAAATGTCTGTGGGTTTTTTGTTGTTATTCTTATTTGTGTGTTTGTTTTTGTTTTTTTGAGACAGAGCATTCCTAAGGCCTCAAACTCTGTTCAACTGAGCCTCTTGAGTGCTGGACGTATAGTTGTCCGCCACTACCACTCCTTTGTGTGATTTTTTTTTTTTCTGCCACTGATTACATATTGAAATGTTAGCTTGACATCTTTCCATGGTAGGATTTCATCTTTGAAGGGCACTTTAAAAAATAAAAAAGTAAAATAGGATAGTTTTCTGGCTACATTAAAAATCAATCTGTTTCAGCTTCATCTAAGAAGCAGGTCATGTCCATGTCTGTGATCCTTGCTGATGTGTTTAGGTTGACGATCCACGTTAATTCATTCTAAAATCATCATTAAGTGCCAATGAACCCTCTCTCGGAGTAATTGTTCCTTGACTGATTTAAGCTGTCAAAGTGGCAGGAAGATACAAAGATGAGGTAGTGTGATTATAGGTACCTGGCTGCTGCACATGAGCATGTATTGCACTATTCCACATCTCTGAGGGTGTCAGGCCATCTGTAATTCAGTCCTCAAGTTGGCCCCAGGGCCCCAGGGATACCAACTGTGGTGTGGAACAAAGTGCCTTCTGAAATAATTGATGCCTTTTGGCGCTTTCAGGGAAGTGAGTCTTTTTGTCCTTTTTTCCTTTGAGATTATTTATATTCTGTAACAAGTCCTGTTTCTATCCTTTTGTGCATTTTGCATTTAAGCAGTATTTTTAGAATATTTTAATAAATGGCTGCATGAGATTGATGAGGCTTTCACTTGTGTCTATAACTAAAAGTGCACCGTGGATTTGAAACACCTGTGCACGTGGCCCTGCGCCCTGGGCCACACTAGTCAGTTCTGTGCTCTAGAGCAGTGTCGCTGTGGTGAAATGGCCCTGCTGTCCTCTACCCTCGCTGCCAGCCAGCCGAGCTGCTGAGCACTTCAAATGTGGCAAGTGTGACTGAAGAGCTGAACCTCAAATTTTACTCCATTTTAATGACTTCAGACAGAAATAGTCTCATGTCATTGGCAGCTTCTGAAGGTGCCCAGCTGCCCAGGGCACAACAGCACCGCCTGTATCCTGCTGGACAGCCTTTCCCCTAGCAAGTGCTCACTCTGGGGGAAAAAAAAAATTGAAATAATCCTATGCCATCATTTATTTTTTTTTAAGAATTTTTTTAAGAAGACTCTCAGGTAACTCAGAAAAATAATTGAATAATGGAAGTCACTTAGAGTGAAATTAACTCTTGAATTAATAAGGTAGACCATTTTAACTGGAGAGAGGCATTCTGCATTTAGCAGAATTTAGTTACATTTTTATTAGACCAAGTTCAATTTCTCTCCATTTCTGAAGCCTTATCCCTTGTGACAGGTGGAGGCCATGCTTACGAGCATCAGGGTAGAAAAAACCATGGGGCTTTCCTGTCTGAATCTCACCATTGGCTTATTAGACAATAAACTCACTTTATTAGGAAAAGCTAGTTCTGTTGCTTCATTAGTGGAAAACAACATTACCCAGTTGGTTCAGTCTTTATTTCAAGTATAATTTTTTTTGGTTGAAATTTAACCATAGTAAAGTCATGAAAACTTTCAGCTTTCCCGTAAGGGACCCTGTGGTCAACTAAGAGTCCAGGTGTGAATAGCTGTCGTAGGCTTTGGTCAGTGGAGATACCATGACAACGTAAGGACAAGAACATTATAACCTCAGGCTCTGCAGATGGCTGTGGCAGGAGAGGAGGGAGTGCAGAGGAGGCTAGGAACACACAGCGTGGAAGCAAGACACAGAAGAGGGTCAGGATTTGCCATATATTTTACTGTCTTTTAAAGTTTCCAAATTTCTGTTATTCTCCCCCGCTGGCCAGGTGTAGGTGCAATTAGATTGCTGATTTATGGTTAAGTGCTTGGGATAAATCTGGCTTCTCATGTAATGAGAGATATTTATGGTCTACAGTAAGGCCTTATCACAATAAAAAAAAAAGAGAGAAAGTGATAGTAAGTTGAAAGGATTTGCTTTAAGAGATATAGCTGAGCAATTTGGAGCACCCTGCAGTAAATCTCATGCCTTTAATAAATGTCTGTGCTAACAACAGATAGAGTGCTCCTCCGATGGTCTGCTTTCCTTCTTTTCCTCACTCCCTCATAGGAAAGCCTGCACATTCCTGTCCTTGTATGAGTTTCTCCAGACAGGAGTGCTGGCCCGTGTCAGTGGCAGGGCACAAATGCCATGAGGGGTTCAGACCTCTGAGGGGTCAGACCTCTTTCCTTGATAAATGTTAATTGAAGGCTACTATATATAATGATAGACCTATGCATTTTCTCAGAATATTTTGCTATTTTGTTTAATTATATGATAGACTAGTTTATTATGTACCTTCTTTCCCATTCCCCCTCCTTGTTTTAAGCATTTGAACTTCTTACCCCTGTGAGAAATCATAAGTGGAAATATTTCTCACTCATTGACAGAGATAATTTGGTTAAAATAAATAGATGCTTCCCAGTTTTCTCACACTTCTTCCTCTTGGTGTTACAAGATGTCTAACTTCCTTTATCTCCAGGGTGACAGTGAAGAAGTGCTCATTGGTTCAGTTCTCTGAGGGCTAAATACCAAAAAGCCAAAGTAAGGACCTTCAGATTGGATTAGGGACCACAGTATGTGATCCCCAAAGACTTGATTGGTCCTATCCCTAATTCTTTCTAAGATAGAACATAGGCCAGCTTCCTGCCTGTGTCCTGGAGGTTTTGTTCAGGATATGGCTTATGAAAGCCCTGTGCTTTTAACAAGGTGAGCATACGGATTCTTGGAAACATGAATGAGATAACATTTACATCTGTGCAACATTATTTGTAGGAAATTATTATACGTAAGAATATCGGGCTGATCTTAACATAAAGGTCTGTAGAATATAATACCCATTTTACATAGACTAGCTTTCATTTTAATGGGAAGAAGGCTGTATTCATTAATGAGCTAGATGGTGAAAACCAAACTTGGCTCCAAAAGTTAGGAGAGTTGAATAGAAGTTTTCAAAAGTAAGTAATGCCTTTGCCGTTGGGGAAGATGATGTAATTGCTAGAAGAGAGGTTGAAAGTATAAAAGTAGCTGGAAGTATAACTTGATTTTTTTCCTTTCTGGTACTGGGAAGGAACATGAGCTGTGCAACGTCCAGTAGCAGCCTTCTCAGAGAAGCAAGTGTGGCTGATTACAAATAACCAGTTGCTTATTTATCATGAATTGTGGAGGACACAAATGTCAGTACGTATTGTTCATTCAATGTAACCTGTGCTAGTTGGCAGACGTCTCGGAGGAGTGCCTTGTCCCTCCTCTGTCAGAACAGTGGGCCTGTGTTAAGCAGCTTCTCTGCATGGATGGAGACCAGCCTCCCAGGCAGGAGTGTCTGTAACTCATCAAAGGTCTCTCTTGAGTGTTGTCTGGAGAAATGTGTGTGATCGTTTTTTGAGTAATAGAAGGCTAATATTACTGTTGGTTTGAATACTAATTGTAATACAGTTCAAGGCACAAGGCAGAGATGTATTAGCAAGTCAAAAGAAGGTTTATTTTGAATCTAGAAAACAAAATATTCTTTTCTTTGTTTTCTCTTGACCACAGTGTAATTAAAATTAAACCACAATAAAACTAAGGAATAGCTCATTGATAGTGAATCTTAAACTATTGTCTACTGAGAAATCAATATTTCTGTGCAGAATGTAGGTGATAGTGCAGTGTGCTGATGGCCAGGCTCCTTAATGGGCAGCCAGGCCTGGTAACAGAGCCCCAACTGCTTTAGGGCCATTGTGAGTTGAAGTTGTTTGATTAACTATGCTTTAAAAAAAAATTATCTCCCTGTACTTCAAGTACAGTATAATTATATTCATTTCTTGAAGTAGTTAGAATTTTCAGGATTCAATCTCCTCTGGCCCTGTCCCATGCTATATTTGCATCTGGTCTGACCTAGAGTTTCTTAGCTAATATCTAAGCCTCGCTGCCAAATGACTACCCCTTGTCCTTCCATACCTACTTTGGTGCCTTCTTTGATAACTATGTAAACCACAGGCTACTGTGTCTAATTTTGACATAGTTCATGTGTCCTTGTCTTACTGGTCTTAAATGTGTGAGATTTATAGAGCACAAAGCCAATGCAGATTTCTGGTACCTAGAACCTGGCTGGCCTGCAGGCCCTGTCTGGGAAGGAATGTGTTGTGTCGGGTGGAGTGAGGGCGTGGGTAATGTTCCACTTTAGTTGTATGTGCATGTGTTCTCTGCTGCAGGCTTGCCCATGCGATCGTGCCTGGAGCACTCTGGTTTCCAGGTGACAGACACGATTCACGGTATAGTATGAGACCTCCGAAGCTAGAGCATCCTCTACAGCTCTCATCCCTTTCTTTCAGTTTGTGGATTTAAGAAATGTTTTGGTTTGTTTTGTTTTTTTGTTTTTTTTTTTAAATAAAACCATAATGCTTGTTAAGTAGCACCAGCTACAGTTTTTTACTGTTTAAAGAGGTACAGTGATTAAGATTTTAAATGTTGTTGAATATATTATCACTTTCTTTTTGTTCTTTTGTCCAAGGCAAATCAGATCCCTATCTTCTGTTTCCTCAGTAGAAAATGACCATTTAGTAATTTAGAAAACTGTGGGCCCTAACCTAAGAACTGAAGTGCTTGTGCTCTTCTTCCTTCCTCCTCCTCTCAGCACTCAGGAACATTCATGCTTAAAGTTCTGTGATTCTGTGTGCTCATAAACAAATCACTGAAGCTACACTTTGAAGTCATTGCATTGGGATCTCACTATGTGTGTGAGGCGGGAGAGAGAGTGTGTACTGGGGCTTCAACTCGGCAGGACCTGGGCACTGTCCTGAGCTTTTTGCTCAAGGCCAATGCTCTACCACTTGAGCCACAGCTCTACTTTTGGTTTTTGGTGGTTAATTGAGGATAATAAAAATCTCAGACTTTCCTACCTGGGATGGCTTTGAACCTGATCTTCAAATCTCAGCCTAAGTAGCAGGATCTCAAATTTTCAAATGCTCTGTAAAATATTTTTATAGAATAGTGAGCGAACTATAAAAAACAATAGAAATAGGATATCTCCCCCCTTCCCCTCAAAACAGGGAGAAGGCAGTTGAGCACCTACTGCAGTATTAAGGTTCACATATGGTAAAGATGAGCAGAAGGCACATGACTTGTGTGTTCTTCACCTCACCTCCTGGGGATGAAATAGCATGGCCAGTGGTTACACTATCGCTATGGCATGCTAGAAAGACTTCTATTCTAGAGAGTCAAGTTGGTCCATAGCTGGGGTGATGGTAGATGTTTTCAAAGCCACAAGCTGGCAACACAGTCCAAGACCAAACAAGCGCCAAGCTCTTGGCTTTCAGTGTTATTCGCCAGCCTCAGGGTCCTGATTGGCCAGGAGCAGTCAGGGCTCAGCTCAGGACAGCCCAGGCTCCAGGGAGGTGAGTCCTTTTCCCAGACCATTGTAGATGTCCTAAGAGTTGAGTATAGCTAGTAGATGGGTTGCTTCTTAATTATGTGGATTCCAGAGCATTTTAGAAAGCCACATTTGTTCTTTGTTTCATCACATGGAGCATTGAAAAGAGACAGTAGCTGAGTGAGCTATGTGCTCCGGTTTGATGAGGAAGGAGTGTTGGAGACCAACACAGTTGGATTAACCTTGGTTCTGCAGCTGCTGTGATTGGGGACATAGCATCTGTCTTATTATTATAACATTGTATATAATGATTACTTGGTTTCTTAATTAACATTCTCAACGCTTACTTTTTGGGACTGAGTTACCAGCAGATCCCAGGAGGAGCTCAGGCCATAGTGGGTTTTAAAGACATTTTGGTTCAGACAGCTGAACTTACGAGATCCAAACCCCACCAATGCACAGACCCAGAGGAAAGTGACACTCACTTTCAGTACAGTGGTTTAGGCATAATCCCTTCCTTATTACTAGAGGAATATTTTAGTAAGAACTAATGAAATTAAAACCCTTTATTAAGACAGGTTATTCTGTTGGATAGCTTAAATAAGCTTAAAGAAACAGCCTGACATTGTAGCTCAAGCCTATAATCCTAGCTACTTGGGAGGTGGAGATCAGAAGATCTCAGTTCAAAAGCTAGCTTGGATAAAAGTTATCAATAACCCCATTTCAACCAATAAGCCAGGCATGATGGTTTACATCTAAAATCCCAAGCATGTGGGAGGCACAGGTAGGAGGACAGAGCAAAAAATGTGAGATCCTATCCAAAAAAATTAATTTTAAAAAATAATTTTAAAAAATTTAATTTTTTAAAAATTAATTTTAAAAAATTTAAAAAATAATTTTAAAAAGGCTTGTGAGTGCAAGGCCTTGAGTTCAAACCCCATTACCACCAAAAACAGAATAAAACAATTCATCTTAAAAAAAAATCTTCTACAACTTAAAAAAAACAAATCTGTAACTTCCCTTTTGCTGTGACTTTCACATGTATCTCCTTATCACTAATAAACCTGACTTCTAGATTCTTTTGAAAAACCAAGTGCAAAATGAGAAAAATAAAAAGTGAGAAGAAGCAGTGACAAGAGTGTGGGTCATGACATAGAATTCACCTCTTAAGGTGTGTAACTCAGTGAGTCTTTAAAAACATGTTTAATTAGGTGTCTTTTGTGTATTTGGGGCATTCTGATTTCTCTAGGCACTGAAATTGCACTATTCCTGTATGAGGAATTTCAGGTGGGTAGAAAGGTGACGTGCCCAAGTGCCTACTGTCTGTCTCCTTGGTGGCTATCTTCCCTGTCTTTTTTCTTCTGCTTCCTCAGCTATTTTGAAACAAATTCTACATGTGGAAGTATTTCTTCCATAAATATTTTAGTGTGCATTTACATACAATATATTATTTAAATGACTGCCTCTGTGCTTGAGCTTTGATCCTAGCATCTCACACATGCACACACATGCCAATGGCTGGTTGCTAGTGGCTCACACCTGTAAACTTAGCTACTCATGAGGCTGAGATCTAAGGATGGTGGTTCAGAGCCAGCCCGGGCAGGAAAGTCCGTGAGACTCTTATCTCCAATAAACCACCAGAAAACTGGAAGTGGTGCTATGGCTCAAGCAGTGGTGCTATGGCTCAAGCAGTAGAGCACTATCCTTGAGCTGAAGAGTTCAGGGACAGCACCCAGGCCTGGAGTTAAAGCCTCATGACCGACCAAAACAAAAGCCATTCCTCAAACTTTTAATGTAAAAAATAAGTTTTATAACTTGCAAAAGATTATTTTTAATTAATCTGCAAGTTAGAGGAAGTATAAAGTTGCATAAAATATTGATACAGTGTTTTAATACTTGCCACTGGCGGAAAAAACTTTACTTCCTATCTTCCTGGCCAGAAAGCTACTCTGACTCTGACTCTGACTCTGTGTGTGTGTGTGTGTGTGTGTGTGTGTGTGTGTGTGTGTGTGTATGTGTGTGTGAGAGAGAATGACACATCAGGAGGAGTCTTCCTCTCACGTTCATTTCTGTCGAATCTGCTGTGACATTTTTGGGCCTTGGTCTTGCTTGTAGGACATTTTGTACTGAGGAAACAGAACACAGGGCTGCATACCACAGAAGTCCATCTTGCCTTTACCATGGTGCTCTTAGGGTTCAGTGGGGGTGGGATGGTGTGGGCATGGAAATTATTAATTGAATTTATTTATGGCCACTTCTGGTGCCAAAAAGGAGTGGCCTTGAGCTCGGTGCTGGTGGCTGACACCTGCAATTCTAGCTATTCAGGAGGCTGAGACCTGGAGGATCGAGGTTCCAAGCCAGCCCAAGAGACTTCTCCAATTGGCCAGCATCAAGCCAGACTGCAGGCATGGCTCAACAGGTAGAGCACTGGCTGTGAGCGAGCAAGCCCAAGTGTGAGTGTGGGGCCTTGGAACTAAGCGACTTTGTAACTTTGGGTAAAATGACTTATTTTTGAGAGCACCATTTGACAGGGAAAGGGACTTCTGTTAGCTAAGTAACCATTAACTGTATCTTGCTAAGAAGATACAGTTAGAGCAATAACAGTATAGGAGTAACCATAGTCATTTAGAATTGTGTGCAGGTCAAATCCCGGTACAACAAATGTCATTAAACTTATTGTTCCTGGTCTTAATGGTTTTACTATAAAGTGTTCATATGTATCAGCTTATAAAACTTTTCTTATCTTTAACTTCCCTTGGGGAGAAAAAAAACTCAAGGCCTTTTATTAATAAATGAGTTGGCATATTTATATACTTATTTGTGGGTTTACCAAGAACAAAAAACTGCTCAGGGTGGCAAGTGAAAATGGCATTGTGTCGCCTAGTAACATTCATTGGTCAACTGTTCTTGGAATAGGTATTAAGTAATAACTGAAGAGCTGACATTATAAAGCCAACTGGGATTTTCTAAGCTCTCGAAGCAAAAGGAAATGAACTCTGTCTTCCCCCAAACCCTTGCTTTGCTGGTACAGGACATGGACTGCTTTGGCCCCTTTCTGTGTCCTCACTCACTCTAGTTTCCCTGCCTTAGGGCCACCAGCTTCACTGCACAGGTGGCTCCTTGGGTTCCTAGCACTGCAGTGTCTGTTTGTTGATGCCATCCAGAGGGGAGCAAGCACCTCATTTGCTCAGTGCCTGAGGACTTAGTACCAGAGTCTCAGTGGGTGGAAGTCTGAGGCTGCTGAGCTGGGCCAGTGTGGGGTAGGGTAGAAGGGAGAGGAGGCAGGAGGCTTAAGCTTCCATGATAGCTTGGCACTTCAGCATCCGATGTCACGACCATCCGATGTCACCAGCTGAGGCCCACTGGGGTTTTGTAATAGCAGTTTTTATCGCTTACACTGTAACGGGATTTCACCTATCACATCTGTTCATCAGTTAGTGTCTGCAGATTACACAGATGAAAACGTCATCTATCCCATTTGTACTTTCTGTACTTCGTTCCAAATGTGTTTTACTATGTTAGATATGATAGACTATGTATCCATGAGTGCCAGCAATAGCAGCCTTTTGCAGCTAGATTTATGAACATGGATGCTTACTTTGTTTACTTCCGTGTAGAGGAAGGTAAACAGTTTACAGACGTGCCCTGAGCTGTATGGAATGTTCTGTGGTGCGGTGCAGTGCGGTGAGTGGTGGGTGAGTGGTTGCATAAGTCTCAGGGGTTTTAGAATGCTGCAGAGTAGCTGGTGTTGCTTAACGTGGCATTTTTTTTCCCCTGTCCACACTTTCCACCCTTGGTACAGGTATTTTTGATAAAGCTGTGGAATGGAAAGGTATGTTTTTCCATGGGATGGTCAAGAATCTGTTACCTTACTATTCTTTTTAAGATTTCCTTTAAGGGATTCCTCTTGGGTCTGGCTCAAGCAGGCTTTGTTTAATTGTAACAAATAAAATCTTTTTGGAGATAATAGTTGAGTATAAGATTTTGACATGACCCTTCCCCTTATTAAGGGTAGTATGAAGGGTTTTGAGCACTGGGTGGGGGGTGGCTTGGAAATGCATAACCTGGGCCTTGCAGAAAGAATGTGGCCTGGGCATTGCTTATGTGGTTGGTGATCTGATTGTGTTGTTGAAGTCCTGGTTACAGTCATTGGCAATTTCATTGAGAAAAGTGATATCAAAGTAACCCTTAATGTATTAACATGTGAGATAACTTTGAAGGACTGTTAAAATTCACACAGTCCTCTGTTTGCTGGAGGAACAGTTGAGATGGCGCCATGACTGGCCGCAGTAGAAGAGCCAGTGTGGGAGAGGCCAGTGCGAGAGCCTGGGCCAGCTTTCCTGCCTGCATGTCTGTGTCTGTGCCAACCCTGGCTGTCCATAGGCGTGTTCACACTCCTGTCCTTGCAGGTTGACTTGAGAGAGCCGCGTAGCTAAATCGAGGAGAGCCTCGGCCTGCGCTTGTCTTTAGAAGGCCCGAAGGGAAGAGAGCACTGTAGTGACTTTCCTCTAACAGTGAGATTGTGCAAGGTACATGGTACCCGGGGCGGCTGTGAGATGCACAGCTGTTTGCTCTCAGCGGCACACCCCTTTTCTCACTTCTAAGGCGTTGGCACCCGTGCTGGAGGCTGCTGCTGCCTGTACGCCACGCCAGTCACGGGGGCCGAGAGGCCTTTGTTAAAGATCTGTGAGGTTTTGTGAACCCTGACTGTTCTGGTGGTTGCAAAGTTAGTGTCTGCTCAGTGTTCTCCATCTCACCGGAAGTGTTTGCTTTTTCTCCTTCATAGAGGTCCTGTAATAAAGAGGGATCCGAACAAGCTCAGAAAGAAAATGAATTTCAAGTAAGTAATCCAGATCATTCTGCATCTGCATGAGGTGAAATCTGCTGGTGGCCAGCCTCTCTGTGACATGGCCTGGCAGACCTCTTTTCTGCCTCGGAAGCACACTTCCCTGAGGTGCGCGTGAGCCTGGGGTCGCTGACTCTCCTGCTGGTGTAGGAAGTGAAGTTGTCTTTATGGGAGCATTTCCAAAAGTGTTTGGGGTGCTGAGAGATGAGGGCAGTAACATTTCTAGGAATATTGTGTGTGTGTGTGTGTGTGTGTATGTATCTGTATCTTGGCCTGGGTACTGTCCCTGAACTTTTTGCTCAAGGCTGGTACTCTACCATTTGAGCCACAGCTCCACTTCTAACTTTTTTTGGTGATTAGTTAGAGATAAAAGTCTCACAGATTTTTTTTGCCTCGGTGTTTTGAACTGTGATCCTCAGATCTCAGCCTCCTGAGTAGCTAGGATGACGGGTGAGAGCCACTGGCACCCGGCCAGTTCTAGTACTCTTGACATAAAGGCGCCTGACTTCTGCTAGTTCAATGCATCTTTGGCTGCCCCCATGCTTCTCATCAGGAAGCAAGCTTCCTGGTTGTATAATGGCACCCTCTTCCTGGAATAGCAGCAGTGCGGATCCTGTGGCCAGGGTGGACTTGAAGACTGAGTAAAATGATGCCATGATCAGAGATGCACATGTGCAGGAGGCTGAAGACTATAAAATTGGAGAATGGGGCCTTTCAGTCATTTTCTCTTGTACGGGTCTATAGGTAAGGGGCATGCACATGCATGGGTGCTCACGGGGCAGGGCTGTGTGTCTGCCTGCCTGAGACTAAACTTCTTCTCCCCGCAGCAGGGTGGCACACATCAGCACTGTGCCGGCGGCTATCTCAGGTGCACCTGTACTGCCTGCCCTGGGGATCCTCAGATCCAGCAGTCCCAGCATGCCTCCACATCCTCTTTAGTAAAACCCACAGGGAGTCAGATTTTTGTCTGTGATCCCTTCGCTGCCACAGGCAATTGGGAATGAGAGTAAAAGAGCTGGTTTTGGCTCCCTGTGAGCCCTTTTGACCATCCATCTTGGACTGAAGAACTGTCTCTTCTGGACATCGCTCCACCCCTCTCTCATAGCACCTTTCCTCACAGTACTTTCTAGACATACCTCAGGCCATGGGCAGGTCCTCCTTCTCATCTTCCCCAGTTTCTCTGAAGCCCATGCACTGCGCTGCCCCCTCCCAGCAGCCGTCATCTCTGGTGTGCTGTCACTAGCCCTCTCAGTGCACAGCTCAGCTTGACTCCTGCCATTGTCACCTAGCCCCTATTTCCTCCTCCATTTCTCCTGCCTTCCTCTCCTATGGGTGTTCTTGACTTGATCTCAAAAACTCTGACCCTCTCTGCCTCTGTTTCAAACAGTGCACCCTGCTGCTGACCTCGCAGCCCGCTTAGCAGCTCTGAGACCTGCAGTCCACACTGCCACCTCCTTGCCCTCCATCAGCCCTCTTTCCTGCCATCTCCGGAGCCTTTCCTCCCACACGCTCTTGGCTGCTGCTTCCACTTGCCTCCTGTGTAATCCCCGCCCCTCCGTGCCGCACCAAGTGGCTGGGACTGGCTGTTGGAGAAGAACCACACAAACCCAGGAGGGGTCTGTTAGCTTGGGTTGGGTTGGCCCCTAAGCATTTACCCACCCTGTCTGGCAGGCCTTGTTTTCTCCTCTGGCCTCCCTGCCTGCACCACAAGCAGGCAGTGAACCTTATTCTTCGATGGCTGCTTCTCTCTCACCATCATCTTTTCACCTCAAAGTCCTCTGTGTCTGTGTCATCATTCCACTGACTCTGTTGAGGGACCTTCTTCTGGTGTTCACACCCCAGCTCCTCTGAGGGAGGAGCCTGACTTTTGTTAGCTTGTTGTCACTGACCCTGTTCTGTAGTGACAGGGTACTCCCAACTCCTGCCCTTCCCAGCCCTACCCCAGCTCTGCTCCTCTTCTTAATAACATTTTTTTTCTTAAAAAAAATATTTATTTGCCTGCCTGCCTACCTGTCTACCTATTGTGCAGTACTAGGGCTTGAACTCAGGACTTCGTGTTCTTCCTTAGCTTTTTTGTTCAAGGCTGGTGCTTTGCCACCTGAGCCCACAGCTCCACTTCTGGCTTTTGCTGGTTAATTAGAGATCAGAGTCTCTAGGATTTGTCTGCCTGAGCTGGTGTTGAACCACAGACCTCAGATCTCAGCTTCCTGAGTAAGTAAGATTATAGACATGAGCCTCTGGTACCCAGCAATTTTCTTTTCTTTTTACTGATAGTATTTTTGAGGCGGATGATCTAAGGTTTCATCAGTGCTCCATCACTGAGCAGCCATACCTCTAGTGCTGACAAGAGTTCTTGAGTCAGGATCTGCTGAATCTGCTTTAAAACTTCCCAGTCTCCTTTGCTCTTCCCTCACCTCTAAGCAACTTTATTTCAATGTAATTTTTGGTACTGGAGATGGAACCCAGAGCCTTGTGAACATTACACAAGTACTCTGCCACTGAGCTATACCTGCAGCTCCCCAGTCCCTTTTTCTCAGGAAAAAAAAAAAATTGTGGGGCTGGGAAGTTGGCTCAGTGGTAGAGCGCTTGCCTTGCATGCCTGAGGCCCTGGGTTCGATTCCTCAGCACCACATAAGCAAAAAGAAAAAAAGCCGGAAGTGGTGCTGTGGCTCAAGTGGTAGAGCGCTAGCCTTGAGCTGAAGAGCTGAGGGACAGCGCCCAGCCCAGAGTTCAGGCCCCATGACCAGACCCAAAAACAAAAAAAAAAATTGTAATCCTAGCTACTCAGGAGGCTGAGATCTGAGGATCACAGTTCAAAGCCAGCCTGGACAGGAATATCTGAGGCATTTCTTGTGGAGCTGTGGATCAGGTTGTAAAGCACTACCCTTGAGCAAGAAAGCTCAGGGACAGTATCCAGGCCCTGAGCTCAAGCCCTAGCACCAGCACACAAAAAATTAATTTTTTGGCCGGGCGCTGGTGGCTCAGGCCTTTAATCCTAGCTACTCAGGAGGCTGAGATCTGAGGATCATGGTCAAAGCCAGCCCAGGCAGCAAAGTCCGTGAAACTCTTATCTCCAATAAAAAACTACCAGAAAACCAGAAGTGGTACTATAGCTGAAGTGGTAGAGCGCTTGCCTTGAGCTAAAGAGCTGAGGGACAGCGCTCAAGCCCAGAGTTCAAGCCCCATGACCAACAACAACAACAACAAAATAATTTTTGAAAGCTTGGGAAAGCACAGAGTAATGTAATAAATTTATTCCTACCGTATAGAATTACATTTTTTACATTGCTTGGGTTCAGTCCTTTTTATGAATTTATTTTTAACTTGTAGTTTTCACATTTGCAGTAGCACTCAGTAGAGCTCCCTGCACTCCGCCCACCCCCTCCTGCTGTTCTCCACACAGCTTGCACACTGCCACTACTGCGAGCCACTAGTTCCGGTGCATTCATAACAACTGAACTGCAGACCACATTTGAGTGGTAGGACATTTTGGTCTGGCTGGGGTTAGCTGCTTCCTTTTAGTTTTTTACTGTCTGGATACTTGGGCAGCATGCCAGCAGTTTCTGCACGTTGCTTTGTCCAGTGTTTCCTCATGATTAGGATGAGCTTAAGTATTTTGGGTTAGCATACCACAAAAGTGCGTGCGTGCGTGCGTGCGTGTGTGCACGCGCGCGTGCCTGCTGGTATTAAGGTTGAACTCCAGGCCTAGGCGCTTTCCAAGTGAAGCCATGTATGTAAGTTCAGTCTTACTTGAACCCTTGCTTCTATGTAGCCCAGATAGATCCTTCTGCCTCTTCTATTCACTGTTTACCCCTTCCCAGCTGGTCCCTGAAACTTCATGTTTTTATCAGTAACAGCTTTCTCTTGCCAGGGCCAGTGGCACTTTTCTGTCCTTCTGTTGGACCTTCATCTGATAGAATCTCACTCTTTATGAAGGCCAGCACTCAATTCCTTTTTTTTTAGCCTGTTGCTTACTGTGCTGACAGTCTGTTTGCAAGCTGTTGCTGTCAATATTGGGAATTCTCAGGTCTGGTCTGGTTCTTCTCCTGTCTCCAGGTGAGTTTACCCATGAAGTTGGCTAGTTTTTTGTTACTGTGTTGTTTTGGAGCTAGTCCTGGGACTTGAACTGGGGGAGCTGGGTACTGTCTCTGAGCTTTTGTGCTCAAAGCACTCTATAACTTGAGCTCCACATCCAGCTTATTGGTGGTTAATTGGAGATAAGAATTTCATGAACTTTCCTGTGCCAGCTGGCTTTGAACCATGATTCTCAGATCTTAGCCTTCTGAGTAGCGGGAGGAGACCAGTGGGAGCAGTGCGCACGCTGAGCGCATAGCTTTTCAGCACTCTTGTGCCGTTGAGCTTTGAAGATGGATTCCTCAGCCCAGGTGCTCTTGGGCGGCTCCTTCACGCCTCTCCTAGCACCCCTTGTGTCCTCTTAGAACCAGCCTTCTGTCCCTCATGACTGTACCTCATCTGCACTTGTGTTTGTGTTTTCTCATTTCTGTCTCCTCTGGAATGGACGCTTTCTGCAGCTGCGGCCTGACACACTTGTTCATTGTTTCCGGGTATGCAGCAGACCTTGAGCAGGTGTTTTGGGGGTGAATGTATAAATGAATTATAATTTCCGAGGCCAGCAGGAATAGGTATTTGGGAGCAGTGTGTGGCTGCCCAGGGCTTGGAGTAGAGGTGTGGCCTGAGCCCTGCTTTCTGTAGGGCTCAGCAGGGAGACTCAGCAGGGTGATGAGTTGATCACCCATGATTCTTGCTTCTCCCTTGGTGACCCTCACTTGCTCCCTTTCCAAGGTCTGCCCCTCCCTCTTCATACCACCCCTCTCCTGATCCTGCCACGGATAAATGCTGAGCACAGTGTTGTAGGACAAAGGTTTATAATGGCCATGGTCACTGAAGTTCTCTGGTCTCTGTCCCTCTTATTGGTTCCATTTCAGGACATAGTTGATAGCTCTGTGGAGGGGTCTGGATAGTGTGGAATCTGCTCCCCAGGCCCAGTGCTGCACACGTAAATAAAGGCAGCTTTCCTAAATAGACAATACACATACAGTGCTCAGCTTCCAAAGCAATAAAACAGAGTTTACGCCTGTGGCTAAACGTGGCATTTCAGCCCTTAAGGGACAGTGCGGATGGGATAGTATGTGCGTCTTATACAATGCCAGCCCTGGTCCCCTCATTACGGTGTGGAAAGCTGGAAAGCACATCTTAATTCTAACCAAATTCTGGGTCTATACAAACAGAAGCCTAATTCTGTTCTTTGGAAATAATTGGAGGATGGCGTAGAACTTTAGGGGAAATGAGACAGATGGCAGAGCGCTGAGAAAACCTGTTGAGGCCAGTCCTGTCTTGTCTGGCCTTGCCTAGCCTCTGCTCACTTCTGCATTTCATACAGTGTAGAAGGCAGTGCCACCCATGAGAAGCGGGAGCATGGATGGAGCACAGGATGCTTTGCTGTCTATCCGATGGGCTTGAGATCAGCCATCCCACAGAGCAGTCACTCGTGGGCAAGGGCACTGGGAGAGGCCAGTGAGCTATGGAAAGCATTTCCTCATTCACACAGACACTAGGTGGTAGTGTTCTTTAAAGCCTAAGAAATAAAACCTGCTTGATGTCCCACCTTGCTGCAGAAGTTACATGTCAGAAACACGTAAATTTGGGATCACAAGAGGAGACAGACCATAGTTGTGGGGGACCCATAAATCCATCTGTCCCCATCCATCTTTTCCTCTTCTCACCAGTACTGGCATACCCCGGCACCAGTGAGCATGTCCCTGGGCTTCAGTTAGTTGTGGAATGAAAAACTTCCACCCCATCCTCCGGGGTCATGTTCCTGCACAATGCATTTCTTGCCAAGGGATGAATTAGAATTATTATCAAACACTTTTTCGCAACACACCTGCTGTGGGCCTTTCCTTAAACACATCAACTGGGAATCTCCATTTTAGCTTTCTTTTTTTAAAAAATTGTTATTACCTAGGTGATGTACAGAGGGGCATTTTAGCTCTTAAAAAACAAAACCAAAACTAGAGGACTTCTCACCCTTTCACCCTAATGGATGGAAACTCTTAGCCATATTTTGCTGTGTAAGAAAAAGAATGAAACAGGTGAAATTGATCTGAAACAGAAAGATAGGTTTTTAAAAATATTTTTTATTGGGGCTGGGAAGGTGGCTCAGTGGTAGAGCGCCTGCCTTGCATGCCTGAGGCTCTGGGTTCCATTCCTCAATACCACATAAGCAGGAAAAAAAAAAAAAAAGCCGGAAATGGCACTGTGTTTCAAGTGGTAGAGCACTAGCCTTGAGCTGAAGAGCTGAGGGACAGCGCCCAGGCCCAGAGTTCAGGCCCCATGACCGGACCAAAAAATATATATATATATATATATATATGTGTGTGTGTGTGTATATATATATATATATATATATATATTATTGTAAAGATAACTTACAGAGGGGTTACAGTTACATGAGTAAGGTAATGAGTACATTTCCTGTCAAGCATTGTTACCCCCTCCTTTGTTTCCCCTTACTATCCCTTCTCTCCCCAACACCTCCCCCCCACAAGTTGTAAAGTTCATTTTCAACATAGTGTCTTGTATGTCTCATTGTTACAGTGAGTCAGCCTGTATTCTTATTTCAGTATCTTGTTAATTTCCCTTCCCCTCCCAACATTAGAAAAATGTATATAGAAGATGTGGGGTACCGGAATCAAATACAGTGACAACAGGGGTTATGCCATGGGAGAAGAACACACAAAAGAAACAAATCACAGAGTACATTAAAAATAACAGTGACAAAGAACAAACCTCTTGAATCCCTATCTTGGGGTTAGATAGATTTTTGAAGGCAAAATGATGATAGAGGGCTGGGAAGGTGGCTCAGTGGTAGAGAGCTTGCCTTGCATGCATGAGGCCCTGGGTTCAATTCCTCAGCACCACATAAGCAGAAAAAGCCAGAAGTGGCGCTGTGGCTCAAGTGGTCAAGCGCTAGCCTTGAGCTGAAAAGCTGAGGGATAGCGCCCAGGCCCAGGGATCAGGCCCATGACTGACCAAAAAAAGAAAAATAAAAGCCAGAAGTGGTGCTGTGGCTCAAGTGGTAGAGCGCTAGCCTTGAGCTGAAGGGCTGAGGGACAGCGCCCAGTCCCTGAGTTCAGGCCCCACGACAGACCAAAAAAAAAAAAAAAAGATGATAAATTTCATATTAGTTATTTGGATGAAGATAGAACACAGGAACTTCATAGATCTTTTAGCATTAGAGTAGAGCGAAAGGCTAGGATGAAAGTTCAAACTGGAAAACCCAGAATGCTGCAGGCCAGTGTATGCTTTGGACCAAAAAGCTAGTGACTCTGGAATATAGCCCAGTCGATCGCTGTAATTCCTGCAAGCCTAGATCCTGCCCAGCTCATGCTGTGACCTGAGAGCCATGGTTCATGTTCATGATGGACCGGGACCTGGGGAAGCCGCTCCCAGAAGCGTGCTTCTTGATGCTGGCACATGGCACACACTCAGTGAACCCTGTTTTGTTGCTGTCTGTTGTAGGGGACTGAGGCGATGGTTCTGGAGAGTGTTATGTTTGCCATTCTCGCAGAGAGGTCACTTGGACCCAAACTCTATGGCATCTTCCCCCAGGGCCGGCTGGAGCAGTTCATCCCGGTAAGATCTGAATACCATGGTGAGTGAGACACGAGCCACAGGCAGAAGGTGGATGCCTCCCCACCCCCACCCTGAAATGCTGTGGTTTAAAATAAACCAGGGCTGAGAATGTGGCCTAGTGGTAGAGTGCTTGCCTAGCATGCATGAAGCCCTGGGATCGATTCCTGAGTACCACGTAAACAGAAAAACCGAAGTGGCACTGTGGCTCAAGTGATAGAGTGCTGAGTTCAAGTCCCCAGGACTGGCAAAAAAAACCAAAAATAATCCAAAGACTGCAAATAGTGTACTATATTAACAAAACCCAATAAAAACAAGTTTTAAGAACTGTCCTTTAGCTAGATGTGGTGACACATGTCTACACTACCAGAGTTTGGGGAGGCTGAGGCAGAAGGATCACAGTTTGAAGCCAGCCTTGGCTACATAGTGATATTCTATAGCTGGAAAAAACAAATTGTGTTTTAGCAAACGTGTACCAAAAGCTCGCTTTTTGAAACAGGTGAAGGGAGTTGCCCGTTGAGAATAACGATAATGTTAGAGGAGCAAGGGGCGGAGGTCAGGCCCCGGGGCTGCATGTCTGTGCAATGGCTCTGTTCCATTTCTTAAGTTCAGCTCTTGTATATGTTGTTTACAACACACTGAAGATTGACCTATTGAAGGGTATGGGATTTGAACTTGGGAACTTGCTCTTGTTAAGCAAGTACTCTGCTACTTGAGCCATGCCTCCGAGCCCTTTTTTAATTTATTATTTATAAATTCATTGAAAATACCAAGTTGAGCCATTTGAAACTGCCATATGCAACTATTTTTGACCCATAGAAATGACATTTGGCATGAGGGATGTAGCTCTGTGGTAGAGCCTTGGCCTAGCTAGCACACCCTCGGGCCCTGGATCCTGTTCCCGCAGGGCAGAGGAAAAAAGCAGCATTTATTTGATTCTACCTCGTACAGTATGTTCCTTGTGGGTTTCTTTCTGACTCCTCAGGCATCTTTCAGAGGCCTGGGTGACGGCCTCTGGCATGGCAGCAGCCTCCGTTAGGGCCCCTCGGAGCTAGCCAGGGAGCTTTGTGTACTAGATTTGCTCATCTTTGGGCATGTTAGCTTTACATTTTCCTCATTCCCAAACAAAACATAGTTCATGCACTGTGCATGTCAGTGACAATGATCCCATATTGGAGAACACGGTGTCACCCAGTGGCATTGTAGCTGTCACCATGTCATCATGAAACACGATGGTGATGCTGGTGTAAGTACGCAAGCTCGTGTGTTGCCCATCATGTGACAGCTTACAGCAGTGGAGGCATCTACAGAGCCTATGGCACTGGTCACGTGAGCCTCGGACTGTACTGTTGTTCAATCACAGTACGTTCCTACTTACAAAAGAGCCTCACGTGGGACACAGTCATGCGGGATGCTCCTGCACTTGATTTAACCCTTGTTGTGTGGCTTCTGTAGGTGGGGCACAATCCCTTCTACCCCATGCCGCTGCCTCTAGGGGCTCAGCTCTCTGGGAGAAGCTGGGACCAGAAGCTCCCTGAGCCCACTGTGGAAGGGCCGCCAGAACAATTGGGCAGTGCCATGTCCAGAGGCTTGGTCTGTCCTCCGTGACCGTCTCCTTGTTGGTGCAGCCCTCCAAAACCTCCTCAATGGCAGGCCAAGTGCTGAGGCCACGGGGAGAAATGTAGAAGGCAGGGTTGCTCATGTGTGTGAGCGAGTAAGTGAGCAAGTGTGCACACCAACGCAGTGGGGAGGGAGGCTTCAGTTATTGCAGTGTGAGGGTAAACTTTCACACTTAGACACATTCACAGTGAAATAGTCTTCATGGTAGAAGCCCATGGCAATCGCTGGGTTCCTGTCTGTGGGGACAGTGTCCGTTGCTTAGGAAATGTGTGTGCAGGTCCTGGGGCTTGACCTCTGGGCACTTCCACTAAGGGAACTTCATATACTGAATAAGCCTTAAATGCTCTACAAACACAAGTTTCTCCTGAGACAGTAGGAACCCATGCCACAGGTTCCTGGGGCAGATGGCAAGTTTTACTCGCTTTTATCTTTCAGAGTCGGCGCTTAGATACTGAAGAATTAAGGTTGCCAGATATTTCTGCAGAGATAGCTGAGAAAATGGCTACATTTCATGGCATGAAAATGCCATTCAATAAGGAACCCAAATGGCTTTTTGGAACAATGGAAAAGTAAGTGGTCACACCAGCTGGTCTGCATTCATCTTTGGCCGGAAGTTCCTGGCAGCCACAGAAGCAGGCATCTGTCACCTGTCCGCGGGTAGTCAGAGGCCCCATTGGCTTTGGCGTTGCCGGTATCTCGTGAATATCTTTTCCTTGCATGATGCAGTTCATTCCTGGATAGAGAAAGACTTGTTTATAAACAGGCTGTGGAATGGAGTAGGGGAAACAAGCCTGCCACTCCCACACTCTCCCCCTTGCCATCCTTCTAGGGTGCGTGGTTGGGGCCTGACCGAACACACTTGCTGAACTAAGCTGTTCTCCTTTCTCTTGCCCCTGCCATGTCAGATACCTAAATCAAGTGCTGAGAATTACATTTACCGGGGAGTCCAGAATGAAACAGCTGCAGAAGTTCCTCAGTTACAACCTGCCTCTGGAACTGGAGAACCTGAGGTGAGTGTTGGCTCCTGTCTCCTGGTAGAAGTGTGCAGTCCACGAATCCTGACCACAGGGCCGGCATGTCATTTGTGTGTGCACGTCCCGTCAGCCCAGGAAGTCTTCATGAGAAAGTTTTTCATGGAAAAGCAGACTTTCGGAGGACAGGCTGTTGTCTAGGGCAAGGGATGAGTAGGGACAGTGAATAGCGTAAGCAGCTGAGAAAAAGGTTACTACACCTCGGCTTGGCAGTGGAGCTGCGGAGCAAGTGATAGAGCACACTAGCCTTCAGTAACACAGCTCAGGGAGAGCACCGGGCAGAGTTCAAGTTCCAGTACTGACCCCCTCCAAAAATAAGAAAGAAAAACAAACGAAGGATCCGCATGAAGTGAAGTTGTGACAAGTTGCTGAGGAGGGACGTGAACTCAGATTGTCCAGGTAGAGACATGAGCTTTGGGGAGTGGGCAGGACAAAGCCCTCAGAGGAGTCCAGCGGCCTTTGAGGGGCAGCCCTGGCAGAAGAGCAGCTGCACAGGGCCTGCAGTGCGCAGACGCCTATGCGAATCCCTAGGCTGAGCCATTGTACGCTTGTCTCCACACGACAGTTTCAGAACTGGGATGAAAACTATTAGAGACTGTGTCCTGGAGATTAGTGCAGGGCTGGCCATCTGAGCGGTCTACGATGCTGCTTGCATCTTACTTTAAAAAGCTTGACAGGTAACAGTAAACCTTTTCTTTTCCAGGTCATTGCTCGAATCTACTCCATCTCCAGTTGTATTTTGTCACAATGATTGTCAAGAAGGTAAGATTGCCACGGTTTGCTGCAGATCAGGTTTATGTGTATGCTTGGCGGTCACTGGGTGGTGAGGAGTGCAGCTGGGGTAGATACGGCAGATGACGCAGTCTTGTGCAACCTGTATAACAACCAGATTGGGTTTTGGCCTGCTAATAGAAAATTCTGTAGTGTTTACTAAGAGAAAAAGCAAGGTTTAGAAAAACAGGTAGAGTATTAAAAACCATTTCCAGCAAAAATAACAAAATGTTTAGATGGGGAAAAAAATCTAAAAGATTGTTTTCTAACTTTTTTCTAACTTTGGGATTTGGGATGATTTGGAATGATATACCTGAACTTCGTGTCACGTGTTCAACTGCTTGCAGTGCATGCATGCCCGTGACTCCTTTAAGCCAACCAATGACTAAATAAATAAAGCAGTGGAGCTTTGCAGTATCCTCACTAACAAGGCCCCTGTCATGGCTCCCAGCTGATGTGCCCTCTCCAGGTCTGTGATGGTTAGGCCAGCAGAGCGCTAGCCTGGCAGGCATTTGGGAAGTACTACACTGGACGGCAGAGTGACAGGCCAGGCTTTGCTCCACAGTCAGCTAGGGAGACCAGGGGGACCAGGGAGTGAAAGGTGGGTCTGGAGCTTCTCTGCCCGGACCCCCACGGCAGCACATCTGTGTGCTCTCTGGACCCGCGATGTCTGCAGAAACTGAAGTTAAGTCACCCAGGACTCCCCAGCAGAGCCAGACCCGCCTCAGCTCTGCTTCCAAGAACTCCAGCCTTCTGTTGTCACATTAGTCCTGTAACCAAACTTGTCCACAGGTAATGTCTTACTGCTCGAAGGCCAAGAGAATTCTGAAAAGCAGAAGCTGATGCTCATTGACTTTGAATACAGCAGCTATAATTACAGGTAATTTACCAAGTGTTTAATTGCAGTATTGGCCTTTTTCTTGCTAGTCAGGTAGCCTGGAGGCTCCCTGGTGTGTTTCACCCCTGCCTGCCTTCTTCCTCACAGGGGATTCGACATTGGGAATCATTTCTGTGAATGGATGTACGATTACAGCTATGAAAAATACCCCTTTTTCAAAGCAAACATTCAGAAGTATCCTACCAGGAGGCAACAGGTAGGATGAGTTAGTTTTATACACAAATTAATTTTATGCAATTACACGGTCAGTTTTGAAGCTACTTGTTTACTTTTATTTACTCCTCAGGGCCTGGGTGCGAGGGCGGATCTAACGACCTCTTGTATGGTAGGCCAGTGCTCTGTCTCTGCGCCCCATCCTAGCCTTAAAGTGCTGCTTTTAAGCTGTAATGTGACTAGACAAAACCCTTTGTTTATATTAAAAAATATTATTTTGGTTGGGCATCACGGTGCATGCCTGTAATCCCAGCCACTCCTGAGGCTAGGAAGATTGTAAGTTGGGGGCTGGGAAAGTGGCTTAGTGGTAGAGTGCTGGCCTACCATGCATGAAGCCCTGAGTTCGATTCCTCAGTACCACATAAACAGAAAAATCCAGAAGTGGTGTTGTGGCTCAAGTAGTAAAGTGCTAACAAAATCTCAGGGATAGTGCCTAGGCCCTGAGTTCCAGCCCAGGACTGGCAAAAAAAAAGAAAAAAGATCGTAAGTCAGAGGCCAGCATGGACAACTTGGTTGGAGTCAAAATAAGGTAACAAACTGGTGATGTAGCTCAGAGGTACAGCTGGCATGCAGAAGACCTCAGATTACCACCCCCCCCCTCGAATGAAAACATGCACCCACACATGTATTTCTGTTTAAAGTGGTGCAGACTTGGCGTTAGGGTCCATTGTTGGTGCCTCATTCAGTCAGAAGAGAGCACGGTCTCCGTGTGGGCCTCCAGTGTTTCCTGCAAGGGCAGCCTCCTCCTGCTCTCCAGACTTCTGTCTGGGAACTGAGGCCCTTCCTCTGCATATCTCTCAAGCAGAGTAACAGCATCTTGGGCCTATGATCTAGTAGCTGGAGCAAATGCCCTGGATGTGAAGTTTCCTTTCCTGCCCCAAGTTCCAGGCAGCCTGCCACTGGAGGATGAGTTCTCCTGGGACTCTCCTCCTGGGATCCCCCTTTCCACTTCACAGCCCTCAAAGGCCGTGGTGAGGGGCACTGAGGAGGCTCCCAGCTATGGAGCTACAGCTGGGCAGTGCGGGGAGTAGTGTTCCCAGCTCACCCCTGAGTGCATGTGGGCCGTACCTCCCCTCCCTGGACCCCCACTGCTACATAACAGCTCCCCATCGTGCTGACCTGGGTGGGCAGGAGTACTTCCCACAGCATCCTGTGGCAGGTAGAGAGGAGAGGGTTGGGGCTGCTGCGTATGCACAGATCCAGGGCCAGGACCAGGCATCTTGGGGAGGTGGTCCATGTCCTGGGCTCACTGTTCAAATGGGGACGCACTGAGGGCCCACAAACACTGCCTTGTTGTGTAGCCATGTTTCAAGGCTGGTGGGGATGTCCTTGAATTTGTGCAGCCAGGCTCATGAGGACGATTGGACAATGGTGGGCCTGAGGAGAAGGTCACAGTATAGGGTGTTTAATTCTCACCAGGTGGCAGACACATAGAGTGGCCACTGTAAACAAGACGGAGTGCGTGTGGGCAGTGGCAGGTCTATTTTACTGCATGCTGCAGAGCTTTGTAACTGCAAAAACCTAAGGAAGTTCCCCTAGTATATATTCTATAAAGCGTAAGGTTCTCTATGGGTGTAAGGTTTTCTCAGATACCCCCTTTCTGATTGGTGTGAACAGTTCAGCATGTGGCCTGCCCTACGCAGCTGCTGAGGGCTTCTGTGTGGATTGTGTATTTTATAATGCTGCTGGGGCCTTAGGTCAACTTTTTCCTTGGATGGAAGCTCAGCTTCACCGTTCTCTAAATGCAGTCCTGGCATCTCAGCAGTGGAAGGCCCCTGGCCTTGGCTAGTCCAGCTTCCTCGCCAAGGGAACGTCTACCACGCGCTGGGCTCTCCAGTGCCTCACGGCAGCTGCGAGAAGTACTGGCCAGTTTGGACGAGGTTCCATGCAGGCGAGCCTGCCTGGATCAGTGACTCCACGAGCACGTGCTCCCCAAGTGATAGCAACCCCACAGTCTCAGACCAGTGAGACTGTCGCTGCCAGCCAGCCCCTGGTGGGGACACAAGCCGCTGCCCTGGGGGGCTCCCTGACCGGCCCCACGGCCACTCGCCACACATGTGTGCTTCGCAGGGAGTGTGGCAGTGCTGCTCTAGCCACCGTTGATCCTAACCCAGTTACTTCTCTTTTAAGCTCCATTTTATTTCCAGTTACTTGACAACATTCCAAAGTGATTTTGAAAAGCTCAGTAGCGAAGAACAATCCTTTATTGAAGAGGAAATGTTGCTTGAAGTCAACAGGTAACTTCCGTCTCTTGATGCTTTAGAAGCCGTAATGGGGGTGCTTCAGTGCAGTAGTGAGGTTCCTAGGGGCTGGATTGGGATGGCTCGCCTGCTCCATTCCAGAAGCTTCTCACCCAGGGGCCATCGGGAGCAGCTCCTCATTGGTACGTGCTTCGCCCCATACGAGGAGCAGAGAGCGCCATGGCAGCTGCCAAGTCAACCTGTTGCTGCCAGGGGTGGCCTGCCAAGTGCCCCGGGCCCCCGTGCGCCTGTTGCCGCGCAGCTCATGGCCTTTCTTGCTTTTGTGATTACAGGTTTGCCCTCGCCTCCCATTTCTTCTGGGGACTTTGGTCCATTGTACAGGCCAAGATTTCCTCCATTGAGTTTGGGTACATGGTATGTTTATGGGCCATTCTCTTCTCTGGGGAAAGGGCCTATCGTAGAATATGCGAGGGCTTGCAGCAACTGACTGGTACTTGGGGAGGTTGACGTGGTCCCCAAGTTCAGTGGCCTGGGGCACCAATCCAGCATGGCTGCTTGAGCTTCCCAGTGAGACTGCAGTTACCTTGCTGTCAGTGGGAGCCTGGACGAGGATGGCCAGCCCCTAGCCTTGCTGGTCCCTTCTCACAGGAGGACACTAAGTGACAGTGTGTATGTCGGGGGAGGGAGGGTGAGTCCCCGTCTGTCGGTCCATCCATCCACCCCCTCCCCTTCCCCCATGCTATGCTACTCCACACTCTAACCTGCAATGCTCTGCTTTGAGTTGGAAGCTGGTACTTTCTGAATTAGACGTCCTAGCTTTCACCAGCACATGGTAACCAAGCAAGACTGTCATTTTTTCCACATCAAGAAATGTTATCCAGGTGCTGGTGGCACATGCCTGTAACCCTAGCTACTAAGGAAGTTGAGCTCTGAGGATCACAGTTCAAAGCTAGCCTGGGCAGGAAAACCATGAGACTCTCTCCAATTAACCACCACAAGCCAGAAGTGGGGCTGTGGCTCTAATCTTGAGCACTAAAGCTCAGGGCCAGTACCCGGGCCTTAAGTGAAAGACTGGCAGAAAGAAAAAGAAAAGGAAGGAAGGAAGGAAGGAAAGAGCTGTCCTTGACATAGTCCTAGGGAAACCCTGTATTGGGGCGCCTCTGTGAGGACGGAGGCCCGGAATAAACGCAAGGCTGTGGTCCGCGTTTGGGAACTGTCTGGTTGCAGAGCCTCCTCTCTTCCTGCCCAAGGAAGAGCTCTTGATAAGCAGTGGCCTGTGGTGCACACAGCAGGTGCATCTCTGTGGTCGCCTTGTTCTACGCTTGCGCACCCAGCGCCTTTCGCTTTAGAAGGGCAGCTGTCTTGGGTGGATGTGTCATTGCTGCTCTGTCCAGGTGAACTGTGCAGGCTTGAGCCACAGAGCCCTTCTGGAGTGGCTGCCACTTTAGAGGCAAGGTGGGGACAGTGCTGAGAGTCTGCGCCTCAGCCCCAGGCTGGGTGCAGGCCAGAGTCCTGCAAACAAGGCCAATATCGAGGCCTTTCTTTTCTATCTCAGGACTATGCACAAGCCAGGTTCGATGCCTACTTTGACCAGAAGAGGAAGCTCGGGGTGTGACTGGGGAGGACTCTACCCCTCACCACTGGACTGCGGGAGGCGGCCAGGCCGGACCCTCTGTACTGCACCATGGCACTGGGCACAAGGGCCTCGGACGTCTCACTCACTGCGCACAGATGTGTATGATACTAAAGACTGTATTAAAGTGGAGTAACATTTCTTCCCTATCTTGTTTACGATCTCACTAGGAAGCAGAAATATAGTGCAATATCTCAGACCCTTCCACCTAGAGGAAGGGGGTGTTTTATGTTCTGGGCTAAGGTGTCCAGCCTAACACGGCCCACACAGCACGTCAGCAGTGTCACCACGGATTGACACTGATTGACACTTCCCATGCCGGAGCACATGGCCCCGGCCCTTAGTATGTGCTGATGTGTTCGACAGCTGCTTCGGTCCTGAGGACAGGAGCTAGCAGACATACTGTGAAGAGGCTCTGCCGGTGGCTGCAGCCGTGCGGGGTCTGCGCCTTGCAAGTCTGGGAGCTGCAGGGGCAGTGCTGGCCCGTGGTGCCTGGAAGCCCTGGCCTGCTCTGCCCGCCTAAGGCAGTGCTTTGAGCTCCAGCTTCTGGCATCACGGGCTCCCCAGGGAGTGGGTACTATGGCCAAGGCCCCAGACATTCTGGCCTTCCTCTGCCCGCGCCACAGCTGGCTTCTCAGGATCTTGCCTAGGACACCCTGCCGTGTTCACTGCTGCCGGCCTTCCCTGAGAGGGGCCAGCCTTCCTGGCCTCACCCGCCCCTGCCTCTGGCACCGCTGTGGGACACAGCAGCCTGGGGTGGGCACGGGTGGGCGAGAGCTGTGAAATCCCTGTATATTGAATGTCCAATGGGAACATTTTTACCTTTTTTTTTAAACTCTAAACTCTTTGTGTTGTTGTTGTTTTTTTTTCTTTTGTGCATATATTTCTGCTACCAGGGACTGTACTATACAGATAAATAAAGAGTTAAAACCTGACTTCAGCTATCATCCTGCATGTGTCCTAACTCCCATGAGGGCTCCTGTTTCTGGGTAGGCAGTGCCAGGCGCAGCATCAGCTGGGTGGGGCGCTTTGCAGCACTGGCTCTGGACGCCCCTCGACTTCCCTCCTCCCTGTGCTGCTGCTTCCTCCTGCCAGAGCCCCAGGGGTCTGACCGCCGCAAGCTCACCTGCTCCCTCCCCAAACTTCACTTTGACCACGTGCATTACTTATGAGGGAGGTGGGGGGGGGAGCGCATGTGTTTGAGTCAGGTATCCAGACTGCAGGCCGCCCAGCCCATGTCACCCGCGGCCCACCACTGCTTGTCCTGGAATTCAGGTGGGATCCGGGCTGGCCACAGCAGTCCTCTGGGCAGACAGTGCGTGCTGGCTTCACCTCCAAGCCCATCGTGGAGAGGCATGGCCCGAGCCCACTGCCCCGGGGGTGACACTCGGGGTTCTTGGACCAGGCATGGTGCGCTGGCAAAACAGCCCAGTCTGGGCCAGTCCACACACCTCCTGGGTAGGAGCTCACACTCCAGCTGGCTGGAACCTGTTTGCTCACTCCAAGCGAGAACATTCCTGCACACAGATCCCTGTGACTGGGTCACAGTGGACAGGCCACAGGTCTGCACTCAGACTTCACAAACCCAGGTCCTTGGCCAGCACCACCCACCCCACGCCTGCCTCAGCTACAAAGGCTAGGGGCGGCTGCGGGAGCCCAGGGCTCGGCCCCTCCTGACTTCAGTCCTGCTCTGGAGTCCCAAAGAAGCAAAACGCACTTCCCAGGCCTGCCAGCTCTTTATTGCTTCTGCTCTGGGCGGCTGGGACGTGCCAGCTTCAGTGGGCGCTACTCATCCTCCACGGTGAAAGAAAAGGGGCTCAGCTTATAGCCGGTGCCCACGTAGAACTTGTTCTGGAACTCCACCCTGGGGAAGAGGTGGGGGGCTGGTTCAGAGAGCCCTGGGCCCCACCCCACCGCCCTGCCCAGTGCGGAAGGGACTCACCAGTGCAGCCGCAGAGCGTGCAGGAAGGCCGAGAGCCCCTCCATCACCAGCAGGATGGCCACTGTCAGCACAGCGAAGGCCGCGAAGATGGGGACCAGCACCACAGCCGCCACACCCACCTTCTGGCCCATGCTCAGGCCCACACGCATCACCATGGCCCACAGGACCTCCGACAGCTCTGGGGGCCAAGGAGCGGGCACTGGGCCAAGGCCAGAGGGCACCTGCTGGCCCTGTGAGTAGCCCCCGTCTTCTTTGCCTATAGGGCTGACAAGCCATTACAAGCCCCAGTACTGGGGCTTGAACTCGGGGCCTGGACGCTGTCCCTGACCTTTTTTTCACTCAAAGCTAGCACTCTACCACTTGGGCCACAGCTCCATTTCTGGACTTTGCTGGTCAACGGGAAATAAGAGGCTCACATTCCTGCCCAGGTGACTTGGAACTGAAATCTCGCACTCAGCCTGCTGAATAGCTAGGATGACAGGTGTGAGCCACCAAAGCCCGGCTTAGGGCACCCATCGACAGGTCCAAGGAGAAAGGACGTGCCCAGGCCACCCATCTAGCAGAGCCAACTGAGGCCCCTAGTCCCTGCCCGCCCGCCCCTCTGGCAGGTCACTCACGGGCATGGGCCAGACTCAGGGCCCAGAGGCGCAGGTAGGAGGCCGTGTTAGAGATGCAGCCCAGGCAGAACTCAATGGTGTGGATGGCCTGGTGCATGAAGACCTCAGAGGGGACACACTGGAACAGGTAGGTAGGTGGCAGTGAGGGCCCACAGCTGGGGCCAGCCGCCCATGTCCCCTGAAGAAGGTGCTGCACCCACCTCGGTCTCTTCCTCGCCTGGGCCCCCAGCCTGCTCCTCGTCGGAGCCCCAGCCGTTCTCAGAGGGGGCGGCCTCAGGAGAGTCCAGAAGCCCAGCCCTGTCCTCACCCTGCAAGCCCAGGGCGGGGAGCAGGTGTCACAACCCCACCCCACCCCCCCACACCCGCTCCAGGAGTCCACCCGACCAGCTGTAGCCTCCCTGCCCTCCCTCACAGTCCTCCATGAGCTCCCGCCTCTACCTGTTGACCCGCAGGAGCAGGATTCCTCTGAGAGCGGCGGTGGCGGCGGCGGCGATGCTGGTGTAGCAGGTACAGGGGTGTGCCCAAGAGCAGGACGGGCACTGTGGCTAAGGCCAAGACCACCAGCACATACTGGACTGCTTCCTGTGGGTGAGTGGGCCAGGGCTGAGGGCTGCTCCCCCCGGTGCCCCTCACGAAATCAAGGACTCCTGAGAGGCGCCAGGTTTGCGGCACGGTGAGATCAGCAGGGCCTCAGCCGCCCCCCCCGCCCCCCAGCCCACCTGCCCTGAGAAGAGCGGCCGGTTGGTGGGGCTGCGAGCGAAGAGGAACATGTTGATGAAATGGATGAGGATGCTGGGCGCCGAGGCGGCCTCCGCGGCCGAGACCCGCAGCCACTTGTAGATGACCAGGAAGACCAGATAGCCGAAGAGGCCCAGCAGGAAGATGAGCTCGGGCAGAGTCTCCAGCAGTAGCCGGTGAGCCTGGCCAAAGTGCCTGAGGAGAGCAGGAGGGCTTTGAGGGTCACTGGGGTGCCGTGCACCCCACCCCGCCCCCCCCACCCCCGCTCCTGGCAGCCCAGCTCTCACACGTGGTTGAAGATTCCCAAGAACACCCCAAAGGCCATGTGGGTGACGCCCAGGATGACAGACATCTTCATCTTGAAGGAGTTGAGGAAGCTCAGGTGGTTGGTAGCCAGGCTCCAGATCTGGGGGTGGCAGGAGGGGCGAGACCCCGGGAATTCCGGTCACCACAGCCAGGAAGCCCTCAGCCCAAGTCCCCCATTGCCGTGCTGGCCCTCTTGGGAGCCCCCTCCGTCCCCATGGGGAGCAGTAGGAGGGGCGTGAGAGGCTGACGGGGTACGGTCAGATCAGATGATGGCTTAAATCTGGGTTCTTCCCAGCTGTGACTGGGCACGTGGCCTGGGCCTCAGTTTCCTCATCTGTGTCCTGAGATCATGTTAATGGGTGCCCAAGGGTTGTCACGTGGGCCAGACTTCCCATGAGAGGACCAGCCCAGGCTTGACCCCACAGGCCTCTCGGCTCCCTTGGGAGACAGTGACAGGCCCAGTGGGGCATGCGCTGTGTCCTGTGCCCAGGCAGATCCTGGCGCACTAAGGACTAGATAGATGCGGCCCCAGAGGCCTGGCGGGACCTCCGCCGGCCTCCACCACCCATGGCGTGGGGGGCTGCTGGACTCACGGGGTCGATACCGAAAGGGTAGGGCCCCAGGAAGACGCCGGTGATGTTGGGGTTCAAGGTGAGCAGCGGGTTCTGAGACAGGAACTGGTCACTGCAGCAAGAGGACAGTGGTCAGGCCCGTGGAGGTGGGTCAGGAGCCACGGGACAGAGTGGGGGGGCACAGGCCTCACCTCCATTCTGACTGGTTGGCCATGGCGGCCACGCTCCAGCCCGAGGGGAAGATGGTGGTGGCACGGCTGAAGCACTCGTTGTAGATGAAGCCGGTGTAGATGGAGAACAGGCCCATGAGCAGGAGCAGGTAGCGGCCCCCAAAGAAGGTCTGCCAGATCTGGGGGTGGTGGATGGGCTGGTGAGGGGCTTCCTGCCCCCCCCCCCGTCCCATCCCAGCCACCATGGCTCCCACCTCATTCTGTGTGGCCTTCATGGCCGGCCGGTCTTCAGCAAGCACCATGGCCAGGGCGAAGAGGAACATGAGCAGACCATGGCCGACATCACCGAACATCACAGCGAAGAGGAAGGGGAAGGTGATGATGGTGTAGGGCGCTGCAGCACAGGGCGGGTGGTCAGCCAGGGCCCCACCGAGGACCCCAGGAACCACTAGGCTGGGGACTGCTTGCTGGTGTCCCAGAGCCTGCCTTGGGGAGCTGTGTGACCCTGGGTTTGCTACTTGACCCCTCTGAGCCTGCTGCCCCAGCTGTGAGATGGGCGTCCTTCAGAGGGCTATTATAAATAAGGCTCTTTCTTGACAGAGCACCTCTAGCTGTTTGTTGTTGATGTTGTTTGTTTTTGAGATTGGGGAGCTGAGGGTCTTGCTATGTTGCCCAGATCAGTCTTTTGTTTGTTTTTTTCTTGGTCATGGGGCTTGAGCTCTGGGCAGGGGCACTGTCCCTCAGCTCTTCAGCTCAAGGCTGGTGCTCTATCACTTTGAGCCACAACACCACCTCCGACTTTTTCTGCTTATTTGGTGCTGAGGAATCGAACCCAGGGCCTCATGCATGCAAGGCAAGCGCTCTACCACTGAGCCATCTTCCCAGTTCCCAGATCAGTCTTGAACTACTGGAAGTGATGCTCCTGCCTCAGCCTTCTGAGAAAACTGGGACAACAGGCAGTCACCAGCCATGGTACCTGGCTGCTATTGTTATATTTAAGAGCACTAAGCCAGGTACCGTGGCCCACACCTGTACTCTTAGCTATTCAAAAGACTGATGTGGGCAAACCACAGTTGGATGCCAGTCAAAGCAAAAAGCTCAGGAGACACTGTCCCCATCTCACACAATAAAAAGATGAGTACAGTGGTGTGTGCGCCTGTCATCCCAGCTACAAGAAATGCAAAGAGGAAGATAGTGGGCCAGGCCAGGCCAGGCCAAAAAAGTGAGATATTACTCAAAAACAACAAAGGTGGCGCTGTGGCTCAAGTGGTAGAGCACTTAGCCTTGAGCTGAAGAGCTGAGGGACAGCGCCCAGGCCCAGAGTTCAGGCCCCACAACTGGCAAAAAAAAAAAAAAAGATACAACAAAGGCTTAGAAGACTCAGGTGACAGTGTCTGCCTAGCAAGTATAAGGCTCTGAGTTCAAATCCCAGTGCAGACCCCTCAAACAGAAAAAGCATTAAGCAGAAGCACAGAGATGGTCCTAGCACATAGTCATGCAGGTGGAACTGGTCGCCTGATTGTGGGGCTGCGCACCATCCCTGAGCCTTTTCAGTCGAGATGAATGCTCTACCACTTGAGCCACAGCTAGCCACTTCCAGCTTTATGCTGATTAAATGGAGATAAGAATCTCATGGACTTCCTGCTGGGCTGGCTTCAAACTGCGATCCTCAGATTTCAGCCTCCTGAGTAGCTGGGATGACAGGCAAGAGCTTCTGGTGGCCAGCCTTTCCCCCCAGTTAAACGGGAATAATTCCTGATGCGGCTGAGAGGACTCCAATACACATGCCCTGTTATGGGCTGAATCGTGAGTCCCCAAAAGTTAGGTTGGTGTCCCAATAATGACCACTCAGAGAGGTTTCTCTAGAGGCTGTGTGGTTTGGATGAGACCTTGGAACTCTAACCCTTTATGACAGGTTCTTGATGAACACCAACTTCTTAAAAAAGAAATTATAATTTTCCAGGTGCCGGTGGCTCCGGCCTGTCATCCTAGCTACTCAGGAGGCTGAGACCTAATGATCCTGGTTCAAAGCCATCCCAGACAGGAAAGTCTATGAGACTCGTCTCCAATAAACCCCTCAGAAAACCGGAAGTGGCACTGTGGCTCAAGTGGTAGAGCGCTTGTCTTGAGCTGAAGAGTGTAGGGACAGCACCCAGGCCCAGAGTTCAAAACCCATGACCAACAAAAAATATAATAATTTAGGGGCTGGCGGGGCTGGGAAGGTGGCTCAGTGGTAGAGCGCTTGCTTTGCATGCTCAAGGCCCTGGGTTCCATTCCTCAGCACCACATAAGCAAAAAGAAAAAAGCCGGAAGTGGCGCTGTGGCTCAAGTGGTAGAACGCTAGCCTTGAGCTGAAGAGCTGAGGGACAGCGCCCAGGCCCAGAGTTCAGGCCCCACGACCGGACCCAAAAAAAAAATAATAATAATAATTTAG